CACATTACTAAAAGGAGAAATAAGAAAGTAATGGGATGAAGGCAACTGAGAAACAAAGACACAAACTTGATGGTACAGTTAAAATACATCTATAATATGCATTCACATTTACTCTTCTAATGCCAAGTTTTCCCAAATGCAAATCCTGAATTCTGATTTTAAGTGATCATGCAGAATTCAAGTTATGCTGCAAAAACAGGGTTTCTGAGGCTTATATAGACCATTCTGGTCAGAGATGACAGACACCTCTCTTTCCAGCCCATTTCTCACTCTCTAAACTGCCCCCATGTGCCTTTAATGATCCCATAATTTTCACTTAGAAATCTTTACTGTTTTTTCCCTCAGGATCTATTAGCATTAATGAAATCATTTGCACCACTGCTTTGTAATCAGGCATATTAAGTGAATCATTTTGCTTTCCTACTTTCCATTTTCTTTTCTCATTTCATTATAGAAAAATAGGTGTTGCGTGATTTATTTAGATAATAATATGAATGCTTTCCCATTCTAATACATTCATGACTTTTTAATTCACATCCTCATATTATATACAATGGCAATTATTTTCATATCTAATTGTTTTGCCTAGGCACCTCTTTTCTCTTCAATACACCCATGAGAAAAGGAAAAACATCTTTAAAATATGATATTGTAATCACTGTAATTTTATTCACATTTTAAGCATACTACTAGAAGCCATTTTTATAAAAAGACACCTGTAATTCTACTTGTCAATATTCCATGGTGATCCAACAGTGTTTCTTGTTGATACCAACCATATTCCCACAACTGGCCCATGGGAAGTTTTTGAGCAGCTTTCCGCCACTCTTTCCCTTGGAAGCCACCACTTCATGAGCCAGGTCACAGGGGTTTGTGGGATTTCTTTTAGAAATGATCATAAGAATTCAAAACACACTGTAACAATATTAATTATATAAATAATCTTACCAGGATAAGCACTCACAAACTGAGCTGTTTTGAGATCAGACTTACCATAGGTACTGTAGAGTGAGATTTCCGTTGGAGTGGAGGACCAACATCATAGGAAAGGTATTAAACAGACTCCCAGAATGTCCAAGTCTGTGGGTTAGCTAAACTGTGTCAGCAGGCCCTGTTTATTTAATCCAAGGAACCAGCCCAATAGACACATGTCTATTCAACACAGGAAACCAACCCAACCAAGTAAGATGGATGTGACAGGAGCAAAATACGCAACGCTACAATCTGGAGCAGGTGAATACAGTCCAAGCAAATAGTTGCAAAGACTCTGAAGCAGGAAGGAGGCAGACTAAAAATGTTGTGAAGTTCTGCATATACCTTTTTCACTGCAGGCCAAGTCAAAATTATGATACTTATAAACAGCATTTATAAAGTGCTCCTTTTGGGTTTCAGATTTGTCAGATGTCTGTTCTGTGCCAAAAGGTGCACATGGAAAAAGGATGTTAGGCTCTGCACAGGCACAAATGGAGCTCATTCAGCTAGTTTGGCTTGGAAGACTGCAATGTACAACCTGGTTCATGGATCTCACATGCACTGACACTCAAAACATCTTTCTTCTAACACCCCAGTTCTGCAAATATTCATATAAACCGCATACATAATTCTGTTAGCATACATATTTATCTGTGGTGCTACGGTCTTCCAGTGCCTCTACTGTATTGCACCTGACCTACATATATTGGATGTCTCATCTGGACAGGCACCTACGTGCATTAAAAAAAAATCAGTGCACATAGGCTCTGAACGTACCCTGCATAGCAAGGAAAAAATAGGAAGGTGCACATTGCTCACTTGCGTGGATGCACACAGGTCTCTGCAAACAGAGAGTATAAAATGCTTGAATATCAGTTGCATTAGAGGAACATGGACGAAGATGAGACTGCTATCATATGCAACTTGGTGTGCCCACAGAGGGTGCAGACAAGGCTTGAACAACAAATCAGGCTGATTGAAATGGGACTTCCTACAGATTAACTATATGTAGGATTGGGCTGCACCTTTTCTTTGAACAGGGGACGGTACTTGAACCCCTAACAACCTTTACTGTTTCTGGGCAGTCTCCATGATATTTAGTATGCAATTAGTATTTGGATGTTATAGAAGTGGGAAGAGGCAAAGAGTGTACAAAGTTTCAAATGCCCTATGAAAAGATATAAGAGAAAGAAGCAGTGTTTTGTTGTGCTAATAAAGCATTCCGCTGCCCAGTGACGTTTCACATCTTCAGTGCACATGATGGTATCTATAATGTGGAACAAACATCTCAAGCCACTTCTTGGGTTATGTTTGGACAGCAAAGACAGGAAAAGAGGCATCCTCAGAGAAAATGTGACTGCTCTACAAGGGTATATGCTTATCCTGTGTTCCCTGCCCCCTAGAAAGTGCATGAAGAAACTTTTCTGCTTGATACGTTGCTACTTCATGTAGATGGTAATAAGCATCTACATGAAAGGTTTTCTGGACACATATGAATAACCCAGTTGATATCTAATTATTATGAAGTTCAGGGCAAAAACTGAACTGATATATGCACACTATGTCTGATACTGTAAAGCTGAAATCTTATACCCCTTAATTTGTACAAAGCTCTACTAGGATTTGGACCTACAAAACAGGGATATGTGTTTGAAGCAGGCAACAATTTGCTGAAGAGGTTACATACCTGTTGTAACTTAGGAATCTGCAGCACCAGGCTCCTTCCCCTCCATCCCCACCCCCTTTCATCATACCTCTGCTTTCATTCGTAAATGTCAGGGGGCACAGATTTTATTCTAACATAAATTCTATGGAAGATGCTATGAACAACTCGAATAGTCAAGCCTTTCTTATAGTAGAAGTCAGGAGTCAAAAAAAAAAAAAAAAGGATGGAAGGCAGCGATGAAGAAATAAATTTTGAGCCACATTGTAATATATGTTCCAACTTCCTCCCTGGATCTTTTGCCTTTTATTCTCCATTTCTGTTAAATTACACGGCCACTGGTTTCCAACAGGCTTGTGCATGCACCTTTTGACATGTTCACATAAAGGTCTACAATACAGAGTTTCATATGTGGGAAAGGTCCCTACATTCAAAATACCAGGGTGACAAACAGTTTCTGGAGAAGGTCTTACTGAACAGGATGGCGAGAACATAAGTTATCACATAGTACCCAGCTACAAAGCATCATAGACGTAGAATAGACTAGAATCATTTTACCACAAAAGTCACAAAAAGGTAAAGAATATCTCTCTTATGCAAAATATACATTTTTAGGATCTATTTTATATTTCCTATTTTATGTTACAGATGTTTTCTCTGTGATATTTTCATTAAAAAACTTATAGTATTTTTACTGCCAGTATTTTATTTCTCTCAATACCTATAGTCTGAGGTAACAATGAAACAAACAAAAACAAAACAAATCCTCTACAGAACTCTGGACAAAGTCTGTGATTCATTTATTTTTTACTATTTTCATCTGAAGTCACATCACTCTTATCCAAGTCAAAAGAAAACCAAAGTGTTGGCATGTTCACTAGTATTCATAAAAATATAGATATGGCAAACAGAGAGCGCAAAGACTTGTAGCAAAATCCTACGCTGTTAATGTTCATGAGTTACAAACTTTGCAAAAATACAGTTGTTATGAGGAAACCTAGGACAGACAGCGTTTACATCACTATTGTTAAAACATGTGTGCCTTTATAGAATCCACAGCATGACCTACTGTAGGGACCAGGAAGAATACACAAACAGGTGTGTCAGCCTTTTTTGTTTAAATGGAGTCTCAGAAATGATGTCTTTGCATTCAGCATCCCTTGGCATAGATGACTAAAGCTGATATTCCATGCACACACATCTTATTTACAGCTGACTCATCAATAGTGACTAATATTTGCGTCTGCTGGCAGCAGCGGTTGGAAATGGTCCTTAATCCTCATAACAAGCTAACAAGCTCCACTTCCATAAGAAATTGGAAGGATCTCTTCAAGGCGGTAGGTGATTATCAGGGCCCATTCAGGAGAAGCAGTCTCTTTCCAGTACAGTCCTTGGTATGGCTAAATTCCATTGTCCCTTTGTCAGCAGTCAAAAATCCATGATAAATTCTGTATAACACTGTAGCCAATAACAGCAGCACCAGATATTAATTTCTTTGCTAGAAGCTACTTGCATAAACTATATACATTGCATGAATCTATGTCTACTGGTGCTCTTCACCAAAATGAAATCAAAGTACATCTCTAAATATCAGAAATGTAAGTACTGATAAATACATTTTTGTACAAGAAATGTTCACATGCAACTCATGCTAGGTTATTATACAGAAGAATATGTTACAGGGTCAAATAGATTTCTTCTCCTAACAAAAATAAACATACAAAAATCAGGGATTTTTCAACAGTCTCAAGGATCTCTAAATGATTTCTTTCTTCATTCTAAGGCTTTTGTGTTGTTGGGTGTTTTTCCTCACCAGCCCAAAACATCATATTTGCAACGGCATTCATGTTGCATAAACAAGGCTGTCTTGTTTTATTGTAAAGAAAAAACCAGTATAGGGAATACGCTCTGAACACAAGGATGAATGCAAACTGCCAGGGGGGGTGGGACTGAAGCAGCGATCCTACTGAAATGGCAACATCACTGCTATATCCCACATCTAGAAATATGTCCTAGAAGGGCTGACTGGAAGGATATCAGCTTATACTTGAGATATGCATAGATACATATATCAAAACGTGGAGAAAGGTAGGGAATGTTTTTAGCAGCTAATCTTATATGAAGAGAGCATTTTTGAAGAAGGCAAGTGTGCTTTATGAGGACAGATGAAAAATACAGACCTGTAGCCGGACAGACAGACATGAACAACATATAGGACAAAGCATTTAAAAGCTGAAAAGGTTTTTTTTTAAAAGAGGCATTGACAGAAACAAAATTGTGAAAGCTTTAGAATTAGAGGTTTAAGGCTGGTCAAAAACCCCTCTTGGAATATATCGTCCTCCTAAATCTGAAACAAATGAAAAAATAAAGGGGGTTCCATATCCTTCTGGCTTCTATTTAGTGCTCTGCCTCTGAAAATGTTGAAGAATCCTAGAGAAGAAACAGACTATAGGACCAAGCAGCACCTGCTAGTTTAAAATTGCAAGCCTGGATGGTGTTTACCTTTCTTGCATGTTTTGTGCCTTCCCCAAGCCATTAAGAAAGAGATCTGGCCTCTGCTTGCGTGTAACCAGTAATGACAACCTCTTTGCAGTTATCTGTGTGCAAACAACCGGAAACATTCAGAACTCTAATACATCAGTCCAGTACCAAAGTTAATCAATCAAGAAACAACATTACTAAAAATAAGGTTTTTTTAAAAAAAAAATCAAAACAAACCAAAAAGAAAGACAAAAAACAACCCAATTTCATATGCAGACCTGTTGGTCAATGTTCTGGTTTCAGCAAGATGGTGAAAAACAATGAAAAGCAACCACAAACCCATACAATCCCGAGCCAACAGTGGCCCTAGTAAATCTGCAAGACGGATTTCAGATGATGGAGACAGTATGGTCCATGCAAATGATCAGACTGAAGTCATTGTGTATGTAATCAAGACAAGATCCCAGACATCTTCAGAATGGGTTAGTATCACGGAAAATGGAGGTCCAATGCAGGGGCTATCAATTGGAAGCACACTGGTTTAAACAGATCTCCCTGAAAATATGCTAAATGTATTTATTCTGGCCAGTGAAGTCCACTCACTAACTGTCCTTTTATTGCTGCGGTAAGGTAGAGCAAAAGCAGTGAGTAGAAAAAATACTGTTTTCTAGGCTCTTATAGATAAAGTTAGGATCTTCAGCTACCCAAGTGCCACTGCTTGCTATTGACAGTTATATCACGCAATAATTTATACTTGTATTAGTGGAACCTATGGTTAATACTACACTTATTTCCGTAAGCTGATACAGTATTTCAGTTAAAACTATGTAGCCGACTGATGCAATCTGGTTTACAAGATAGATGGGATGGGAGATCGAGAGCGTCTTAGAGGACAAGGTGAGTTGTAGGGTGATGTTACTGGAGACAGTCTCACGGCATTGCCTGCCATGCCAGCTATGTTGTTTAAACTTCTGGATTTTTCGTAGCCTTTCATGAGAAAATGCACAAACATCAGTTGAATTCAGCCAGAAAATGAACAAACAAGACAATGCAATGCAATGCAATGTAATGTAGTCATACATGTTCTTGGGTTCCAAGAGGGTAGAGTATTGAAAGTGTTGCTAACAACAGACAAAAATATACAGTGGTGTTGTTCTTATGAGGGCTTGATCCTATGGCCACTCGGAAGGCTCCTGATGGCCATGGGATCATTTGCAGCCTCAGCTCTGAGATGAGAAACTTTCTCCAAAGTTGCTGCCGGGGTTGGGACTCTGAAAGAGTGCCCCTCTCCCCATCCTTGCAAAGAGATCTCATAGGGGTTGGTGGGTGGAAATGGGAGGAAAGAGGCACTGCCACGATGCGCAGCGTCCTGGCAGCACCTCAGCCTCTTCTCCTCATGCTCTGGGGCACAACAGTTGGATGATGGCCATCTAAAGTCTGTTGCGGGGGGGAGAAGTTGGAGGCGATCCTCATCTCCACGCTCCTCCTTCCATTTACTGTATGTCCATGATTCCCCAGATGCAGTTATGGACAGATTTATTGGACTGTGCCACTAGTGAGACTGAACAAACTCGGTCTGACTTCATAATTGCTACTTTTAGGTCAATAGCCAGTGATGGATACGCAGTCCAAGTCCACTTGCTTCAGCAAAATTATAGCAGTAGCACAGAGGGAATACATTGGCTCCTCTGTACGGCAACTCAGTATAATAGAGGTAAAAATCATGTGAAGTGTGTATGTGTCAGTGCCAAGTCTTGATATTTTAAAGTACAGATTATTTCCTACCTATTATGAATTTATTTTGTTATCATATATGCTGTGGGTTGAATAATGCATTGTTTGAATGCTCTTTCTCTGGAGGTTTTTCAATTAGATATCTGACATTCTGCATCTAATACTTTTCAAAATACTTGCAATATTAAGTGATTGACTATTCATTAAAACGTGTGATTTATCCATATTGATTTAATGATCTACACTGTACAACCATACTATCTGCAATATTTATCCAAGTGGTATTAATAAAAGGCAGCATGACTACATCTAATACAAAAATAACTAGAATTTGCATATATGCATGTTATTAAAAACATATTCACCCCTAGCATGGAATTCTGCAAAATGCCTCTTTCCACAGAGCTTGGCATGGTTCTGATAACCATTCTAAGATCCATCAATTATGTTTATGGAGCATCAGTGTCGAGCATTCCTCCCATGATTCTGGCTTTTTTTCTAGCCTGTTACTCAAAACTAAGCCAGAAGCTTCTGGTCCAAGACAGAACAGGACATTCTGGCTCAGTGCAAGTGAGGATCTCTGTACTGGTGCACAACTGGAGGAGAGGAAGGCTAAGGAAAAGAATGCAGCTGCAGTGCTTAGGCACAGCTTCATAAACCATGGTTGACGGTCATCTGAAACAGTAGAACAACAGTACAGTCTCCTATCTATTTCTTTAAGCAGGGTAGAACCATTTCACGTTAGCTGTGTCAAGAAGTGTGGCTGTGTTTGTCTGTTGCAGACAGCAAAGATTTTGATGAAGTGGCCATAAAAGCTCATGGCAGAATAAATGTGTTCATCTGTAAGATGCTGCAAGACTCTTTGATGTAAGTTAAATAATGGAGGCTTTATCAGTGGGATTTATTTCCAGGTAAGTGCATATGTGATTATGGACCAAATAGGATGGCATTACTATTGAAGGCTGCATTTCTATAGACGCTTATTTTAACCGTGTTAAACTTAGTGGGTCCTACTTCTCATAGACATGTATATAATTGTGCATTAAGGTCCAACTGTGTTACCTACATAACAGAGTTGCAACAATACATTGCAAAACTGAGGAAATACACTAAAAATGGAGTCCCATTAAGTTTCATGGGGCTTACACACAGAAAACTGTGCTTGTCAGAAGGGGTATACAATGAGATGAGACAGACACACACACTGTCTAGGTTAATGGTTCTCAAGGTACATGGGGCATAAGAACACCCCCATAAATGCGCAAAGTCCCTTTTAAGTTAGTGCACATGATTGCTGCAAGTACACCAGTGCTTCCCATAAGCACTCACATAAAGCATGGATGGCATACCCTTCTCTTAAAAAAATAAGAATAAACTCATGTACATACACCTGATAATCCTGATTGGACTGACAATCAATGATACATGTAAACAGGTGTTGATACACATGGGAATGACACTGAGCTTTCCATAATTTCTCTCAGAAACACTGACGTCACACTGGCATACCTGCAGCAACACTCCATGGTATAATGTCACGCCATTCTTAACTTTTTACCATTTCACATCAAACCTCTTTTTTTTTTCCAACGTAAACATTTTCCAAAATGTCTGTCATAATGTTGATCAAATCAGGACTTGGGCAATTAGATCCTGACTCAATATTTAATTTGTAAAATAATACTACATTATATGAATAAGAAATTAGCTGGAATGCAAGATATCTGAAAGCAATTTCTAAAGAAACTTTATGAAATTGATATAATGAATATGGCCTAAATTACAATTCTTTTTGGACAGGATAGACACATGAAACCATGAATGAAACAACTATCAGAAACAACACTGACATATTTTTGGAAGGACTGATGGACCAAGAACTTATTTAAATAGCAAGGAAGAAGGAGATGACAAGAAAGGAAGGAGGAGAAGGGGGAAAATACATTGATCGGAATACAGTCTTCCCTGGAGAGCATTTGTTCATATCTGCTTCATTCCAGGCTTTGCTTATTTAGTAGTACAGTGCGGAATGAACTTTTATAGTCTAATGAAAGAGTCCATACCTTTCCTGATCCCTCCATCAGTAGCACACGTGTAATCACCTGCTGTCAGTAGGAAACATGTTCCCCCTCTTCTGTTTTTGTCTCTGGTACTAGAACGTCTGATTGGTGGGAGCCTTTCCACAGGTGACAGTGGCTGCTCACTTTCTGTACTGTCTTCACCTGATAACACTGGTTAAAGCACCATGCCCATTTACATCATATAGCCAGGGAGGAAATCAGACATCACAAAGTACTTGCCTGTTAATCCCTACTACTCATGTACAAAAAAGAGAAGAAACCACTACACGAATGTAAAAAAGATGTAATGGCAGTTCATCATTACTACAGAAATGTAGCAAAGTTGCAAATCTCTATTTTCTTAAGGAAAAAATATTTTATTGTTAATATTTGTGCTTAGACTGCCGCCATCTTCAATATTTCCTTTATTGCCTTGGTGTCTTCAATACTTTAAAAGATGTCAGATTGTGCTGCCATAGAATACTTTTAAACAACAATAACAACATACTTGTTTGGACGGCAAGCAGTAAATCTTACTGAATAAGTAAGATTTGCATCCATTGCTAAAAATGAATTCACATGTAATAATGGTAGCAGTCCTAATTAGATTATCCTAATTATGCACGTGTTAGTACCTTGGGCACTTACCAAGGCTGGCCCAAAGTCCGCTGTAAATGATTATGAAAGTCACATCGGTGTGTAGTTCTGAGCAGTACACAAGGCGCCATGCTGTGTTAATGGCTATCTAGGCTTCCCTTCCACATCTTATGCAGTTTAACAGGAAAAGTGTGGGCCTTTTTTGTTGGTTTCCTATTAGTGCCTGCTCAGAGGTTATCTGCACAACCCCAGTCCCTTTCTAATGGTCTGTCTGCATTTTATTTTGCCTTTAGCTACCCTTCTAGCACAGGTGGAAGTCTGGACTAGGACTGCTGCAGGGAAGGAAAAGGCTAATGCCTTTAACCCAAACATACAGACTCGAATCCCAGACTGGATCAACCACTGCTAGTCATTTCTCAAAGAACAATCCTGCACTCAAGGGCAAAAGCAAATGATTTACAAGCTGTGTAGTTTGGCCTTTAATCACTTTCTTCAGTTATTTAAATGCTCACTGTGGCAGTTAATTTTTTTTAGTGCTTCATTCTTTAAACTTTTACGCTTTTTGATTAACATCTTTATATAAAAATAGCTCATTTAGCATAATAGGGCTTTTACTATTTCAGAATATAGTGAAACATATAATCATGGTAGAATATACAGGCACTGTAAAGGGGGAAATATAAATTTAATAAACCTCTGTATTTATTCTTTATAAATTTGGTCATCTTGAGAATTTTCTTTTTCTAATCTCTGACCTCCACATGCCATCCCCAGCCCTGTGCCTGCCAGATGTTTTGGGACAACTTCCATCAGCCCCGGTCAACATGATTCAAGAATGTTGGGAGCAACAGTGCAAAACTTCTGGAGGAGACCAGGTTGGGGAAGGCTGATGTAATCTAGCATCTACAAATGCATCTTAGGCTTACTACTTGTTGATCTGCAATCTGTGCCTTCTTCATACTGGGGCATTATAAAGAGAGCTTGAACAAATATAAAAAAGCAGATATCCAATATCACTTTGCAGATTGCTTTACTAAGAGTGAAGCATTGCAGAAGTAACAATAGACTCTCCACTGTCTAGAATCTATTTCAAGATTGTTTCTGCTTTTCCTGAATTGTCGGTGTTAGTATTTTTCAAAATAAAAGCATATAAAAAGTCAGAATGATTTCCTAGCTAGATTCACTGGGGGGAGGACTCACCTCCCACCCCCTGGTATATCAAGGAAGACTTCCCACCTTCTTCCTCAGGTGCCTGGAGACCAACATTGTGGCCTTGAAACCAAGGTGAGGCTGGTGAACAACCAGCTGTGAACTCAAGAGGCTGGGCTCAACAAAACAGAAAAATTAGAAAGGGTCCAGCAGAGGGCAACAAAATGATTCAGGGTTTGGAAACACTGCCCTATGAGGAGAGACTGAGAACTGGGCATGTTCAGCCTTGAGAAGAGAAGACTGAGGGGGAACATGATATCCCTCTATAGGTACCTCAAAGACTGTCACAAAGAGGAAAGTCAAAATCTCTTTGACAGGCAGAGAAGATGCACAAGCAATGCTTGCTGGGGCCACCATGGAGTGATAAGGATACACTCCATGTATCAATAGCTGATCTTCAACAAGACCCTGGTAACCAGGAGAAATGAGGGGAACATGTAAAACAGAGTTCCATTCCATTGGAAGGGGAACACATCTCCTAGTGAGCCTACTCTGATCCTGGCTCAGGAACAAACCTGGCTCAAACCACATTGTGCTGGGTCATGAAGAGATCAGTGGCAGGATTCCCTCAAATCCAAAAGAGTTCTGTGAGGAGTGACATATCCAGCTCCTACTCATGAACCCCTTTGGCCTGTCTGCTCAGAGACTCTGTTGTAATGTTGACCATCCTGGCCACGTGTATGGTGATGGGAGTGATGCCCCTGTTAACACACCAGGTCCAGATGTGTGTGGTGAAATGTGCCAGCGCTCTGGATGTGGTGCCTCCTTACTGGTTCATGTAGAATGTCACTTTGGCATTTTCTGTGACAATCTGGATGTGATGATTCAAAAGAATGATTTGGAAAGCAAAGGCCCCTTCTGCATTGCCAGCAGCTTGAGAGAGTTGATGCATTCACACAACCCCTGGTTCATCCAGACACCATGCATCTGCTTGGTGTCGCAGTGTGCTCCAGAGCCTTAGAGGCAGGCCACTGTTGTCACCATGACTTCTGGTTCCGGTGGAACGAAGCTGATCCCCAATGCTAAGTTGGCTTGGTTGGTTCAGCAAGCGAGGCTCAGCTGTACCAGATAGTGAGCCTTTTCTGGCTTGAACTTTGCTGGAGCCAGTTGTTGCTGTTGTTAGTCACGAAGTCGTGTCCGACCCATCGCGACCCCGTGGACAACATTCCTCCAGGCCTTCCTGTCCTCCACCATCTCCCGGAGTCCACCCAAGCTCACACCAACTGCTTCAGCCAGTAGGCACTCACAAAGCAAAGCTGAAGCAGGCACATTTGAAGCCTGGTGAACAGAATAAACTTGCTTGTTACAGCCATGAGCCTGAAGAGGCATCGAACTTGTTGGGCCATGACTCTGGGGGTGGCTCATGTACTCCCAGCCATGTTGTTGATGATGATGGCAGCCCAGTTGGCTGGAAGATAGGCTGTTGTGGTTGCCAAAATGATCTGTGCTCCAATCAGGAGGACTGACTGAGAGGAAGAAATAACAGATTTTTCTAGGTTTAGGCAAAGATCTAGAGTCCAAAGAAGATCACAAGCAGTACAAATGGAGTCCCATAGTTCATCCCTCCAAGGCCCCACTAGGAGCCTGTCATCAATATCTGGAAAAAGCCTTGACTCCTGCAAGTGGAGGTGAGTGCAGACCACAGCCATGCACTTTGTGAACACCTGTGGTGTAGTGGAAAGTCCCAGTGGGAGTTTGGCAAATGTGTCTGCTTCAGTGCCAGTTTGGAAGCAAAGGAAGTGCTAATACTCTAGATAACTGGTAACATAGAAATAGGCAACCTTTAAATTCACTGAGGAGAACCAACCCCCTGGATGCAGCAACTGTAGGATATTTTGCAGGAAAACCAAACAAAACTTCCTCAGTGGGATAAAGAAGTTGATGGCTCTGAGGTCTAGGACTGGGCATATCCCTGGCTCAGAGGAGCTGGTATATCCCAGTCATCGCACAATGTACTTTTTCACATTCCAGGTGTTGGTGCAGTGGAGGCCCTCCAATCCCATGTAGTTAAAAGGGATCATGAATGGTCACAGCGGTGTTGGTCCAATGCTCGGGATGGTATGCCTGATGGGCCATTGTGGTGAACTGATGGAGTGATGGACTAAGTGGCCCCTTGCATGATGTCAGCATCAGTGTCTGTCTCAGAAAGCCAGCAGAGGAGGGTCAGGATGGCATCTGTGGTGGTGAGTCCCAGACCTTCCCCTATGAGATCAAAGTGCATTAGGGACAGGCCTGGATGGTATTGGCTCTAGTCCTGAAGAAGTCACACTCAGCACAGACAGGAAGTGGCACACTTGAGGCCACTGTTTATGTTCAGTCTTTTCTGCTTCTGCCATCCTTTTGACATTTTTGGTCATCTTCCTGGCCCACTGGGCTTTGCGGAATGTGCCGGGTGGGCGAGGAAGATAACAAAGCTGCAGCAGCCCCTGTCACAGAGGATGGAGGACATGGTGATCCCATGAACCACACAGCAGATTGGTGAGCAGATGCCACCAGCTGAGCCAAGTAGGGCTGAGTTCCAAAGTTCAGTCCACAATCTTCCTGCTTGGTTCTTCCATGCCTGCATAGCAAAGGCCTGACAATGCAGCGAGGCTTCCACAAGGTGCCCTTCTCCCAGATAGAAGAGACACAAGGAATGCTCACTAGTCAAGGGCAAACAGTTCCCCTACTTTATACACTTTCAAAATGGCCTCTTCAGTGCCATCAGGAAAGAAGAGATGAAGAAGAAAGAAAACAGTTGGTAAGAAAGATCAGTGACAGAAGGGTTTTTAAATTTTGGTATTAAAAATTAAGGTCAGGGAAACCTAACTTTAGGTATTAGGTTAGGGAAAAACAAGGTATAACAAAATGGAAAGGGTGAAATAAGTAGAGAAACAAGAAATGCTGGGAAGGACAAGTCAGAAAAAGGAATAGTGAAAGAAGATGAAAGTCCCATGGTACCCACAATGGTGGTTGGAAGAGAACTGAGGAAGAAGGTAGGAACTCCTCCGAGATAGACTAGCGAGTGGGAGGCATGGGCTCCTGCCAAAATGAGTCTAGCTGGGAAATCTTCCCAACAACAGAACCTGTGCAGGCACAGAGCCTATGTGATGCACAGAGACTAACAAAGAAGGACTATAATATCTGATTAGCAAAGTGTTGCTAATGTATCTTACAAATGCTTTAAACTCTGATATAATGGGCCTGGTAGGCCATGAAATTAATGACTTTTTCAAGTAAGTCTGGGCCTACTATTAACTGCAATTCATTGAGCAGCAGCTGTTTCCTAGGGTCAAGGATCATAGCATCAATTGTAAAAGAAAGGTGAGCATTACATGGAAGAAGCATTAAAGGGTGCTGCCATTCTTAAAGGATCAACAAACTTTATTGCAAACACGGATTTGGGCTATTCACTGGACATCAGAAATGAATGACTGCTGTGGCAAAAAATGTCTTCCACCATTTTGCTATCATTCTCATTCACTATGACAGAAAAGAATTTGATTTGAAAAAGAAAATTCAAGGCAAGAACATTTCAGAGAGATTCTTTTGGGTCAGGTTCAGGGTTCTTGTGGTTACATTACTTAGGAGGAGGCTGGAAGTACACATAAGTGTCCTGCCTTTCACTGTGCAATAAGCTCTCTGGCAGGTGGCAGCCACTCCACACTCCAATTAAAACCCAGGGGAAGCCATCCCAAGGTAACGTCTTCCCCAGCAAGGCTTTTCCAGATCAGGCCATGCAGGCAGCCAGGGAGGCTGCAGAGTGATGGAGAGTTGCATAAGAGAAAGCATGCACAAACAGCATCCTTAGCCACCTTGCTTTCATAAGGCAAGGTCAAAACCAGCATCAAAGGAAGTTCAATACAAGCCATGGCGGAGGTGCGGAACCCTCCAGAGTGGCAACATTAGGGAAGGGTCATGGCTCTGTAGCTGAGCACATCCTTGCATGCAGAGGAGCCCAGTCTCAGCTCCTGTCCTCCCCAGGAAAAGCTCCTACTTGAAACCTTGAAGAGCAGCCCTCATTCAGGGAAAACTGAGTGCTGTATGGGGCTATATGTCCAATGTCTAACCCAGCTTAAGGCAGCTTCCTCTGTTTTGCTAAATAGGGCTGAGCCAAAAATTCTCAGCAGGCATTTTCCTTTCCTGTCCAGACTGTTAGAAATCAAAGGCCACTTTGCAGAACGTTCCACAAATTCACTCCTAGAATGACATTACATAAGAGGCCTTGTGGAGGATGCCAAATGGTGGCTAGGCTGGCAACACAGTTGCTGCTCTTAGGAAAAAAGAGGGCTGTGGTACAGCCACTTCTAGCTTTAGAAAGTTCCTCTTACCTTGGTGAGATTAGCTGAGCTGTATCTCCCTGTATACCAGCACACACAGGTGATTTGTCCACAAACGGTGGAAATTTTTGAAAGGCCAGATTTATATCCAATGTTGCAGATGAGGCACATCACATTCTAAGCTATGGAAAAAGTGCTCACCCTAAAATCTAGAGTTTATACTTCTGTAGCACTTGTTGCATTGGATGTGGACCTAGATTAACCATCCATGTTTAAATGAGAGCTTCTTGAATTGCTTCTACTATTTCATGCCACAAGTGTGGCAGAGGCAAAGCAACAAAACAGACAAACATCACAGAAAATGTCATGAACTTTAACAGAATGGAGGCACAACTGTACAGTCACAAGCATGCCAGAAACAAAACATTTGTACAGTGCAACAGGCAAAAGAAACTGTACATGACACCAGTATACAACAAAAGAATTAGAGAGAACAGAAATTAAAGGCAGCTTGGCACCCACGATACACCTAGCAAACACAACAGATCAGCAATGCACAAGTCTAGTAACATCATTCTTATGCTGTAACTACATCACCATCCTCAGGACTGACATACATAGAGAGTGAAGGTAGAGGTGTGTGAATGGCCTTCTCTAGCTGCAGAAAGATTAAATGCTTTCTGATGCCTTGTACTGCCAAACATACCAGACATGCATTTGGGGCTGTGTCCTACCTGATTTATTGTGTTCCATCAGCCGGTTGTCTTTGCCCAGACAGACTTCTCCCTGTGTGCTATTGCACGGCATGTTCAAGTCTGTCTTGCAAAATGTGTGGGAGCTTGCCTGAGGAGCAGGTGGGATGTGCTTCTTTCTCTTCCTCGGAAGCTTCTGTTTTGCCATGGCCAGAGAATAGTACATTCCAAAATTGTTGACAATCACAGGCACAGGCATGGCTATCGTCAGCACCCCAGCTAACGCGCACAGCGCACCCACTAGCATGCCTGACCATGTCTTTGGATACATGTCTCCATACCCAAGAGTAGTCATGGTGACCACAGCCCACCAGAAACCAATGGGGATGTTTTTGAACTCTGTATGTTCACTAGCTGATGGGTCATTGGGTTTGGCGCCTATGCGCTCAGCGTAGTAGATCATGGTGGCAAATATCAACACTCCTAATGCCAAAAATATGATCAGGAGCAAAAACTCATTGGTGCTTGCTCGGAGTGTGTGACCCAACACCCTGAGGCCGACAAAATGTCGGGTGAGCTTGAAGATTCGCAGGATTCTCACAAACCTCACCACCCTGAGGAAACCAAGCACATCCTTAGCAGCTTTGGAGGAGAGGCCACTGAGGCCCACCTCTAGATAGAAGGGCAAAATGGCCACAAAGTCAATGACATTCAAGTAGTTTTGGATGAATTCAAGTTTGTTGGGTGAAAAAACAACACGGATTAAAAATTCAAATGTAAACCACACCACACAGACGCCTTCAACATATGTCAGAGCAGGATCCGTCTCTATTTCATACTGCAGGACCACCTCACTACCATTGATAGTAGGCTCTGTTTTGTTTTTGATGGTATTGAATGCTTCATGAGTTTCCAGGCAAAAGGTCGTGATGGAAAGTAGGATGAAGAATAAAGAGGCAAAAGCAATGAACTGCAAAGAAAAGAAATTGGAAATGCATCAGATCCATGCAGTAAGAAGCAAAAACAACAATCAGCATCATATATTTTAGCATATCTTAAACTCTACTGCAAGGTCTTTCATATTCTCAGGAAAACATATATCAAGGACTCACCAGCTGTTGTCCCTGGTCTGATATGAGGCTAAATAATGTAACAGTTTTGATCAGGAGGAAAAAAAAATGATCAAGGATAACAGAGAAAGCCACAGCTTATACACAATAGTTTACCAGCTATTTCTGACTACCATGTGGTGTTCCTACTTTATCATACCAACAAGGTCTATTTATTTATTTAATTAGATTTCTAACTTGCCACTCATCTCCCTGGGCAGCTGTAATTGACCCTTCTCAAGAAAATGATGCCTCTTAACTGTCCTTCTTGCAAGAATCCATTGTTGAATTGCTACAAATGAAAGCCATGCTAACATTTCTGCAACAGAAGCATCACTTGCACTGTTGTTTACCCTCAACTGGCAGCACAGAAGGTGTTGCAACTCTACTGATGACATTGAGGTTAAGAATCAGTGCAAGTGACAGTTCTTTTACAGGCCAATTAGCATGGCTTTGGCGTCCAGTCAATATATATGCTCAGCAACCACCATATAATTCAGCCAGTCCTGATTTGGTGAACATCAGAAAGATACAAAGGACTACCTGGGCAGCTTCAAGGCAGATGATCAACATGCAGGATTTCCATGGTCAGCTGTTTTTCATATCCAACACCTTATGGGAAGGTAGCCTGTAAGCTTGGTCCTTTATTTTACTGCGGAACATGTATATAGCATCCTGGAAAATCTCTCCAAAACCCAGCGGTGTTTGGAACTTGCAATTTGCATGTTGTTGAGACTCTCAGCCAATGCCAGGTATGGTCACCAAAGCATTAAGCATTAGCCTTTAGTTTTCCTCTACCTGTGATTGAGGCTATCTATATCCAAGGACATTCAGAAGCTAGACAATTTCTACAGTGCTCCTCAGCAAGTATGGGTTTATCATTTTTAGTCATTATTTATATTTCGAAGTTTTTGAGAAAAGCATTGTATACAGAAGGAATAGAATTGACTGTCCCTAACAATCTTCCTAAGATAAATACGTAAATCTAGGTGTCCAGTACAGGATGTTTTCTTCCCGATTACTAAGAGGAAACAAAGGAATAATACAGACACATATTCAGTAAATTGGAGCTTGGCAATAGCCTTAATAGTTAAGAAAAGGAAGAAAAAACTAATTCAGCAACAGAAAGTTAATTCTCCAATCTACCCATATGCAATATACAAACTTTATTCTATTGCATCTTAGTGCATCTTTATATGTACATATAGCCTGCAAAAGCCCTAGATTGCAAAAATATTCATAACACCAGCCTGGAAGTTTTCTGGAACCCATCCAAAGCTTAACAGTTACATACAACAGGACTATACCTCAACCAGAAAAGATAGAAAAGATGAAGGATTGTTCTTAATTATAAGGCTTGGCATAAACAGCACATTCAGTGGTTGAGGCTATAAAATGTGCAAATACTTAGATTATGTAAGAAGTGTACTAATATCATTGGTATTCCTATCTAATAATTTAAATGATGCATTTATCTCTATATCTTCAAGCACATTTTGACATTTAATTTTAACTATTCCGGAATGCAGAGCTAAAATTAGCTTGCTTAAGCTGTTATGACAAAGGGCACAGTGTAATAATCAGTATAAAATCCACAGAGAATTATTAGAAATTACATTTTTTTAAAACCCTTCCCCAAAACTACTGAGTATTCCTAATTTAAGCACTTCTACAGCACAGTCAAGCAATCAAAACAATAAATCCAAGCCACTCTTGGCAAATGTTTGGAATGGAAGTCATACTCCAGGGCATTTCTGGATTTTGTAATTCTCACCCAAGGGTGTTTAGAGCTTAGAATGTAACATGCCTCTCAGCCCCTGATAAATTCGTACCATTGTCCTCAAGCAATAAAGAACACCAGAATGATCAAGGCAGATCAATCCATAAGCATTAAGTCAAAACGAAGCTGCAGTAGACGCCTAGCCACTAGGAGCAAAGGGCAAAAAAGAAGACTAAGACAATTTTCTTTATAATTAACTACATTCTTCAAAATACGCTACTGTTGGCAGATGAAGCAGCAGTGGAACATTTCCCTGTATTTACAAGACAGTCACATATTCTGCATCAGTGTGTTTGGATATTTTAGATCCCGCGTGTGAAACTGAGCTAAATTATAGAAAAACTGAGTGTGCAAAAATATGGAAACAACAGCAAATGATAGGCTGATCCCATGGTGCTGCTATATTGGGATTAAGAACATAAGAAGATCAGTGCTGTATTAAGCCAAAGTTCAGTTCCCATAGTGTCAAGCCAGTTGCCTGCAGAAGGTCTACCAGCAGACCATGACTGCAACAGCAACCTCCAACTCATGTTCCTAAGCAGTTGGTAGCAAGAGATGCACTGCCTCTGATACCGGAAGGGATAAATAGCTATCATGAGTAGTAGCCATCAGTAGCCTTATTCTCCATGAATTTGCCTAATCTCCTTTTACGTAATATTGTCCAAGTTGCTGGACAGAAAAGCAAACTAAAAAAGTTAATAATGAAGGCTTTGTAGTCTCTCATGGACTTATAGTGGGGTGGCCAAACTGAGGCTTTTCGAGTTAATTTTGTAGCTTGTGGCTTGCTGCCTGTGGGTGCCCACCTGCCACTCACCACCCGCTTGCCCTGCACCACCCACGGGCGCCCACTTGCAGCCCTCAAACAATTGACATTTAATGTATGTGGCTCTTCTGGTGAACAAGTCTGGCCACCCCGACTTATAATATGCCCAATTCCAGCAAGTATTCCTAGGTTTTGTTTTGTAAATCTTTTACAGAGTTCCATTCTACCACAAATATCCTTGAAAAAGACAAAATATTCAATTAAAGAGGGTGGATCTAGTTCCTGATCTTTTCTTATATCATCCAGCCTATTTGTTGAGTTTCACTAAATCTTGGTTTTTTCCACTTAGATTAGATTAGCATAACTGAAATCCACATGTCTGGATCCTTTACCCAAGTGGACTGCATTGGGCTGTCATCATACCAAAATAGAAGTGCACCTCCTCCGATTATGCAGCTAGAGAGTTGTGGTAGATATTTTCATGTCATGAGCAGTTTGATGTGTTTTCACATGCAAAATTAACTTTACAGGGAAAGCTGGATTTGAGAATTAGCAAGGAAACATTTGGCTGACTTAAAGAGAAAGGTTGACTTTTATTTGGTTCAGTTTGAAGGTTCTGATGATGATGATGATGATGATGATGATGATGATGATTATTATTTTGGCCATTTTCCAAGCTAAATATAAATTGCCAACTACATTTGCATGTTGCACTGGGGACATGGAGGATCCAGGTTCTAGTATCTACTCAGGCATGAGCCCACTGAGTTACTTTGGGTCAGTTATAGACTCTCAGTCTAACCTACCTCACAGGGATATTGTTGTGAAGATAAAAATGGAGTAGAGTAGAACTGTGTATGTCACCTTAGGTTCCTTTCAAGAAGATAAACACAATGCAATAATAACACTAATAATATAACATGCAATTGGAACATTTGTTAGAATCCATGTTTGGTCTCATGGATTTTACAGCTTCAGAGCCACCGGTATTATTGGAGCTACTGATTGAAGCCCAACAGCTACATCGGCCTATAATATTTGTCTATAAATATTTATTATCAGTGAATAAATAAGATACATATGGTCTTAACCAAGAATGGAATAATGAACTGGTGCTGGACTCCATCTCTAAATGTACCAGTATGGAACACATTCAACAGCTCCAATAAAGCTCAGAATTAAAGCTGGAATGGATAAAGAGCCCCACTGACATTGAAGTCACCAGCTTCCCTTGCTGCTTCCTAAACAGCATCACAGAATGGGATGCCTTATAGGAATCTGCACAGGGACAAGGATACATCTATTGCCCTTGTAAGAAGGAGTTCACAGGAAGGTAATACGTATCACCATCACAAAACAAAGTGATTGATCATCTGAGTTTCCTGTTCCACATTTTAGCAAGTGACATTCAGAGAGCACAAGGAAGAAAAAAAGGACATACCAATGATATGTTCCTAATTTTGGAGTGGTTGAAAACCTTGAAATCTTATCCATAAGCAAGCTACATTCTTGGCATGTGTATATATATAGGAAGTGGGGGGAGGGCAACTATACACATGTTGCTTTTAAGCATATTAATAGCACAATAGCATACGGAAGGAACATATAAGTTAATATCAAGCTAACAAAAAAAGAAATATCCTTATTTACATTTTCTTGCATTTTATGGCTCTCTCTGTTGACCCACGTAGCATATTATAGCACTTTTTAATATATTTATATATGTTCCGGTGTTACCTTTCCATCTCACTGCCAGGTGATCAATGCAGATGAATTTTTTCACAAGATGTTATGGAATGGCGAAACTACATGTTACACAATGATACATGTTTCCTTTCCTTCAATTTTGCTCCCCACAGGCTGCAAGAAGGAGTGGAACAGCAGCAGGGACAGCATTCTAAACCTGTTTTTTGTCCCCCAATACTGCTTTCTCTACATTGCTTCTTTCCAATGGAGGAAAAATTTACGAGAAGAACCTCCCCCTTTTCCTAGGAGTGCAAGAACAGCTGGATGATTTTAAGCAAAAAAAAAAAAAAAAAAAGAAGCAGGAAAAAAGGCTTCCTGGATACTCCCCTTGTAGCCTTGAGTACAAGAAAAATAAAAATGCTATGGGAATGCAGCACACAATCACAACAACATGGAAAAGGGCATGCACAAAGATTTATAGCCATAACTGAAAGTCAGCATAGATGGACTGAAAACTACAATAGTCACATGCTGGGAAGAAATCAGACTGTAGCCTCAGGTGCACTTCTAAAGTCTCTATTATTTGAGCAACTAGTGCTGTGTGCATGCAGGGCCAATCACAATCAGTCTGC